ATATGAAACTCATCTTGCAATCATAAAGTATCACTCATGAAACAAAAGAAATGCTCATACAAGTTTCATGCCCTTCTTATTAGTGTTAACCTATGGGAACCGTGAGGCAGAAGGTAGAACAAGACAGAGCAAACATGATAAAAGAGAATTATATTATTGAATCTAATTAGTACATGCTACAGTCCTTATATAGATAAAACAACATACACGTCAGCAAGATATAAAGAAACTTAAGTAATTACAGTTTTGCCTAAAGAAACCTGCTGGAGGGTTTTAATTGCTAATATCCCCCCGCAAGCTAATGAGGTCGGAAGAGCGAAGTAGTTTGTCTGACAGTTCTTTGAACCGAGAATTGGATAATGATTTTGTAAACAAATCTGCTAACTGATCTTTTGTAGAAATGTGATGAACATTAATGCTATGACTTTGAATGCATTCTCGGATAAAATGGCAATCAATTTCGATGTGTTTTGTCCGAGCATGATAGACTGGATTGTTCGCTAATGCGATAGCTGAGGTGTTATCACAATACAGAATCGTTGCTTCATTTTGAGGACAATCCAATTCTTGAAGTAGACGACGAAGCCAGATAATTTCTGTTGTTGTTGCAGCTACTGCTCGGTATTCCGCTTCAGTGGACAAGCGAGCCACTGTAGATTGCTTCTTTACACTCCAAGAAATGAGTGAGTTACCGAGAAAATTGCAGTATCCGGTCGTCGATTTGCGATCCTGTTGATCACCAGCCCAATCAGAGTCAGAATAAGAAGATAAAGTGAGGGAGTTACCTGATAACGGAAGACCATAATGAACAGTTCCACGTATATATCTGAGAATTCGTTTAAGTGCTGAGAAATGGTTTTCAGTTGGTTTGTGCATCGCTTGACTTGCTCGATTTACTGCATATGCAATATCAGGTCTTGTTAAGGTAAGATATTGCAAGGCACCTACCAGTTGACGATATAATGTTGGATTTGCAAAAATCGGTGATTCAACACTGTCAGTTTGTTTGGGGTTTGAAGGCGTGGCTAAAGGTCTGCAATTCGTCATCCCAGCCCGAGCCAGGATTGTTTCAGCATATTTTGTTTGATGTAACAGCAAACCTTCAGATGTTCGTTCAGCCGTTATGCCAAGAAACTGATGCAAAGAACCAAGATCTCGCATTTTGAAACGATGATGCAAGCTGTCCAGTAGTTCTTTATGTAGAGAAGGATTGTTTCCGGTTAATATAATATCATCTACATAGACTAAAACATACATTAGTGAGTTTTTGTGAGAATATATTAAGAGAGAGGAATCCGAATTACTAGTTTTGAACCCAAACTGATGTAAGAATCCTGTGAAAGTTTCAAACCATTTCCGAGGAGCCTGTTTCAGTCCATAGATGGCTTTGTTCAATTTGCAAATGTAAGTAGGATTAGTAGTATCCGTAAAGCCAGGTGGCTGCTTCATATAAACCGTATCAGACAGAGAACCATGTAAAAAAGCATTCGAGATATCTAACTGATGCAACGGCCAGTTACGATGTAAGGCAATGGTAATAAGAATACGTAAAGTAGGAATTTTAGCTACCGGGCTAAACGTATCCGTATAATCTATACCAAATTCTTGATTGTAGCCTAGAGCCACCAATCTAGCTTTATAGCGAGCAATTGTACCATTAGAGTTGGTTTTGGTGCGAAAAATCCATTTACATCCTAGCACATTAAAGTTTGGGTTAGGGGGAATTAGTTCCCAAGTACCTTGAGATTGAAGAGCTTGGAATTCGGTGGACATAGCCTGACGCCAATGCTCATATTTGACTGCCTGGTTATAAGATTGTGGTTCCGGCTCAGTGAGTTGATGTGTTAAATCCAACACTTTCTTAGGCTTGAGGTTGCCTGTTCGAAATCTTGTTTGCATCGGGTGTAAAGACGGATGTAAAGGTGAGCTGGGCATTGCATTGTTAGAACCAGAATTATTAGCGTACTCAGATGGTATAACAGCAGATGGCTGAGTAATAATGGTACTGGGACCCGATGAAGATGGTTTAGTATCCCAGTTCTTGACAGAATTTGCAGGAACCAATAGAAGAGGTGGTAGGTACGTGCTTGAATTCATGGCTTTGGATGACTTAACATTGCAAATTTGATCATGAAACGGAAAAACATTTTCATTGAACATAACATGACGAGAAGTGAAAACACGTTGGGTTTTAGGATCAAGACAACGGTAACCTTTTTGATTTGTAGCATAACCAATAAACACACAAGGTAAAGACATGGAAGAAAGTTTTGATTTAGCATACGGACGTAACCACGGATAACATAAGCAACCAAAGACTTTTAAATGATTATATGCAGGAGTTTTACAAAATAATTGTTCAAACGGTGTGCTATGATTTAAGGTAACAGTGGGCAACCGATTAATTAAGTAAACTGATGTGTACAACGCATCAACCCACATGGAAGACGGAACATTCGACTGAATGAGTAAACTACGAACAGTTTCCAACAAATGTCTATTTTTACGTTCAGCTACGCCATTTTGAGCCGGAGTATATGGGCATGTATACTCATGTTTGATGCCCCATTTAATGCAGTAAGATTTAAAAGTGTTGTTTAAATACTCACCACCACCATCAGTGCGAATGATACGTAAACGAGAATTAAATTGACATGTAATCATTTTGTGAAACTGAAGAAAAACAGCAGTAACAGCAGATTTTTGTAAGAGCGGAAATATCCAACAGTATTTTGTGTAGTCATCTATAAATGACACAAAGTAACGGTAACCTTGAACAGACATGGTCGGGGATGGCCCCCACACATCCGAATGCACTAAATCAAATGGTTTATTCGAAATTGAAATAGAAGCAGAGAACGGTAATTGTTTACTTTTTGCTAAATGACAGGTGTTACATTGTAAGCTAGAAAACTTAGTGTAAATGCAAGAATGAACACGCGATAAAGTCTGTAATGTAGAATGAGCAGGATGCCCAAGACGTTTGTGCCAGAGATCAGGGATCGTCTGAACAGAGACTAGCGCAAGGTCTGCAGGTTGTAGAGAGGATCGAACACGGTAGATACCATTATGGCAGGGTCCGTGAAGAAGAAGTCGCTTTGTCTTCGAATCCTTAATTTGATAGCCGTTAGTATCGAAGCAAATAGTGCAATTGTTATCTTGAATTAATTTATGAACAGAAAGTAGGTTGAAAGACAAATTCGGAACAAGATGAATATTCTGTAAGACAAGATTACCTGACGGAGTAGGTAATATACCTTTCCCGGTTCGACATATAGGAATTTGATGGCCATTTCCAAGAGTAACTTGAGAAGTACCTGTATATGGTTCGGTTGAATTCATTTGAGAAGAGTCGGCCGTTAGATGGTTGGATGCTCCGCTATCAAGAACCCAACTCGAAGATTGAGATTCGTCTGGCATAGTGAACAAAGCTGTCTTGGATGTGTCGTCAGTGTAGCTAGGATCTGTTCTGTACCAGCAACGAATGGCTGAATGGCCATTTTTCGAACAGATTTGGCAAGTTATGTTTCTTGCCTGTCTATCTCCACGATTTGCATTCTGAGATGATCCGCGACCGCGTTTGCCACGGTATGAGTTTGATCTTGCGCGACCACGACCTCGAGATGCCAGTAAAGCAGTCGTATTATCGGAGAGTTGAATTTGTTGAAGATCATTAGCTGCTTCTTGAATAAGATTCTGTTCTTCCGTGCAAAGAAGACTGTACAAATCGTCGAGACTGAGAGGTTGAAGATTTGTGCGGATCGCAGTTTTGAAGGCTTGATACGTAGCGGGAAGACCATTGAGAGTATAGAGGATTACATCTTCCGGATCTATTTGACAACCAGCTGCAGCGATCAAATCCACCTTGGATTTGATTTCAAGAAGATAGTTCGTCATTGTTTTGTCACCTTTGGTCAGATGATGGAGATCGTTTTTCAGCTGGATGACTCGCGAGCGGGTGGTTGATTGCAGCCGATTGGCAAGAGTTTGCCAGATCTCAGAACAGTGAGTTAAGGAAAGCACATAAGGTAGAATAGAAGTGGAAATCACCGAATATAAAGCAGCAGAAAGGTTCTGGTCGGTGAGGATCCAAAGCTCACGCTCTTCCGTGGAGGTCGTAGGGCACGACGAAGTGCCGTCCAAGAAACCTTTGAAACCGTTTGCGGTAAAGATTTTCTCCACTTGAGATCGCCAGATCTGATAAGTATCGGGCGTTAAGGAGGTTGGAACTAATTTCTTGAGATTACTCATGAGGAAGATGAGTTTAGGAGGAAGAAGAAGCTGAGAGGCAGAATTTGTGGAATCCATGTTGGTGGATGAGTTTGAAGAGTTCGACATCAAGAAGGGAGATCGAATTGAAAAAGAATCAGGAGAAAAAAAAAAAATCTTAGGCTAATTTGATAGAGACAGAAAAATAACGATGATGAACAGTGCAACGTCAATATTGGCGTCCAACTGTTCACGCGCAGCCAAAAAGCGGAAGTTTTGCCGTTCGGCTAGAGCTCGGGAGCGACATCATACAAGCGTTTGGAGTTCGGTTAGAGGGCATCTCAAACTGAAAAACTCATTTTTCACTCCAAAATGCAGTAATACACCAATATGCAATAACTTGACTTCAATCGAACTCCATTTTCTAACACCAAAAAGAGAATATTCCTAGTATATTCTTTCTCTTTAATCATATATTTATATTTAATTATGTAAAAAATATATTTTAATTTCTTAAAAATAATGTGTTTTTAAATTATTATTTCTTAATTATTAATAACAAAATTCTACACTTAAATTTTTAAAATTAATAACCAATTTTTCAAATTAAAAAAAAAAATAACATATAGCGGGTGAACAGTGCCGCAAGCAAATAACGGAAGATTTGGCGTTCGGCTGGAGCGACCGAATAACATCATATACATGTTTGACGTTTGACTGGAGAAGGCCTTAGCTCATATACCCTTGAACTTCAATTCATCTTCTAACTTGTATACCTATATTTTTGGCAGGTGATTTCCAATGATAAATACAAGAGTGTGCATCATAGGGTGTTGGCCAACTCTCATAAAAAGGCCAGAGCTTCTATTGCTATGTTCTTAAATCCTGATGGGAGAAGTGAGTCTGACCTCTATGGGCCTCTACCAGAACTATTGTCAAACGAAAATCCTGCTCGCTACAGAAATTTCACAATGTCTGAATTCATGAGAACTTTCTTTAGCAAACAGTTGGCCAGCAAATGCTTGCTTGATCATTTCAGGATACAATCTGATGACACCAAGGAAGTATAAGCTTATGGATTGTGTAAAGAACAAAACTTTGGCTCCATATACATGTATTTACTCTATCCTTTTGCTTGCAGCTTTTGATGTTGTAATGGTATTTGTCAAAAACAATCAAGCTGTACTATTTTACTAAAATATTCATAGCTGTTTTAAGATCAACATTGTTCTATTAATACTATTTTGTGGTTTGCACTTATTAGAAAGAAATTTTTGTGTGTTTGATTGTTTATGTTGCAGAATGGAAAATACAAATAAGTGATAGAATTTTTATCCAAGTTCATTGATGAGAAGGGGATTGATCATAGGTAATTTGTATGGTACTCGTGAACATATTCTGAGGAAATAAGATTTGACACATGAGTTGCAATGTATTGATATGATTTTGAAAGTGTTATAGGTTTTGTTTTAGGACAGTTTTTTTTACTACTTCTTAAAACATGATGGGGACATCAACTCGTGGAAGGTTTATCAGAGGCGTGGCCGCCGATCTACGACCACGATCGAGTCTTTGTATTTTTGAGTCATTTATGTTATTTTATTATTCATGTATTTTCTATTTTCTTAGGGTCATTATGTTTTTCCGTTCGTACCCCTTTAGTGGGAATTGTCGTGTATGAGCCTAAAGGACAAGTTGGTCTTTTATTGTCTTGAGTCCATTATACTTGGCTATTTATAGCCTCTTGTCTAATGTTTGAGGGTAATGAATGATTGCTTATGAATATTTCTTCTTGGTTGAGTTTGAGAGAGAGCTTGAGATTCTAATGGAGAGAGATCCCTAGGAGAGGGAGATTTGCGCAATACCCATCAACCTAGATAAGTCGGGTTCGTGGTTTCAATCCCTATCTTCTTCCCCTTGCCTTCCCCCCTCCATCTAAGCCGGCAGTTCTCACTCCCACCCAAGCCCCTTCCTCCCCATACCCGCTCTTCTTCTCTAATTCTCTCCTCTCTCATTAACTCTCCAACCTTCAAACTAAATCTGGAAATTTATTTCAGATTTCCCCTTGGCTCTTCCCTCTTTCAATTGCAAGAAAAACTTCTTTCTCTTTACTTAAACTTAAGGGACCCTATCAAGACAAAAGGAGTTTTGCTTCCTAGCTCCGATGAATGGCGGATCCGGAGACTGATTATGGAATAACGTGGGACGAGGAAGGTTTCACCGACATCCTACAATCCACCTTCTGACGAGCACTTCGAAGGCATCAAGTGGAGGATCTTCACCACTTCTTGACGAAGGTTTCTCTTTCTCCTTTCATTATATTTCTGAAGTCTAACTTCTCTTAGTTTTGATTTCAGTCACGACAGACAACTCTTTACTGCTCATCTAAAGCTTAGTAAACGTAGGGTTTGAGTGCACCTTTATGCTTTCTAATTCTTGTTGTTAGATTAAGGATTTCTTTGAAACTACTACTTATCATTGTGTTATTTTCTTGATTCATTTGTAAAGCTTCAAATCTCTTGCTATGTAATTTGGCCTAAGCGGGTGTGACCCCTATTTGTTTTTGTTTTCATTCATTGTTTTAAAGTGCTATTAGTTTTGTTATATGATTATTCTAATCACGAGTTGTGAAAAATCTAAATGAACTAAAAGCATCTCATACTTAGTCCTGCATCAAGGCATCTTTTTACTATAAAAATTATTTTTTTATTAGAAAGCTCCTTTATGAAGCAATAACAAAGTTGTCCCAAACGAAGCCTTAATCTTCAAATGTGGGGTGAAATTCTGGAGAGCATCATATGTGAAACGTTCTATATAATTGTCATGGTAGGAGGATGATAGCGACTAAGGCTTCATTTGGAACGACTTTTTTTTTATTGATTCTTAAAACGGAGTTCTAGCACAAAAATTTTTATTTTTTAACAAATGCTATGTTTGGGAAGGCCTTCTCCCTTCTTCTTAAAGCATCTTTTTAATATAAAAATTTTATTTTTTGTACTAGAAAGCAGCTTTATGAAGCAGGAAGAAAGCCGTCCCAAACGAAACCTAAAACTCAATAAAAAAAGTTGTGCCAAACGAAGCCTAAGTGACACGAATCGTTCAATTTTCAAATGGTCATTTGCATCATTTTTAGTGTCATTATATGACATATGTCAATCTATTGCGGCTTATGTGATGCTAAGGCGGTCATAAATGAGAATTAAGTATCATTTGATCCACTGAGAATAGTGAAAACCACAAACAAGATCATCATATATTGCATGTTTGATGTTATTATTGTGTCAATAAGTTGGTTATTAATAATGAGCATGCATCATCAGAGATGACATACTTCTCAGTAGCCCTTTCTTTGATAGAGAATGCTTATGACAAATTTTAGTGATGAACCTTGAGGTGTTGACAAAGCAAACCTAGAGGGATGACAATGGCTAGGCTAACAACAAATTGTATGGCCATTATCAACAATAATTAGATGATTAAGTGAGACAATAAATGGGTGTCATTTAGAGAGAAATTATTTTGTGCGATCATCGAATGGTTCGGAGTCAAATCAGAACACGCCACATCACTCAATATCGAGTGGTACACTGTAGTGATACAAAGCAAAAAAATGATGTGGCGCATTCTCATTAGTCTCTGGACGTCGTTCGGTGACAGCACAGAATAATTTTTTGTCATTTCGATAGTTAAGTTCTTGCTTCCATCTACTTAGGTATTTGAGCATTCTTATATATGCATTTATCTTTCACTCAATAGTTAAAATGACAAATGGAGCATATCTAAACATCTTTAAGATTTAAGATTTACTCATTCAACGTTGGCATGACCCCTTCTAAAGAGCCTCAACGAATGATTTTCTTTTAGAATATTCTATTTGTACCTTATCTTCAATTGATTAATGATGGATTGGTACGCAATTCCATAGATTTTCTCCTTTTGTAGGAAGATTATAGAAAATCAATGCACTTGAACTAGCAAACAAATTATATAGTCCATTATATCTTTTTCTTGTGAGTATAATCTTCTTATTTTTTATCAAATACCTTAAACATTATAATTAATAAGTTATTAATAAAATAATTAAAATTGGTTAACTGGTCAAATTTAGGTCATTCGGGTTAATAGCAGGTCAAGTTTGGGCTTGTCTTTTTCACCCGTTTATATTAAACAGATCGGATTTGGAATGACTGGGATCAGATCAGTTCAATTTAGGATTGGTCTCAAACCCAACCCGCCAACCCCTCTAGTGTCCACATTTGTCTGAGCCAAACCATTCTAGCCACATAACAAAATTGAAACTTAGGACCGAGATTGATTCTTTTTTTTTTTAGAATTTTTATTATAAGAAGATAAATTATATGATAAAAAATTATTAGTAAGAGTACATTCTAATCATATTATTCTTACGTGTCACTTATAGTATCTTCTTCCAAGTCTTAGGCTTCGTTTGGGACAGCTTTCTTTCTGCTTTCTGTAACAGCTTTTTGGTATAAAATTTTAGTTCAAAAAATTCGTGTTCTTGGTATAAGTTTTTGCCGCAATTTTTTCAGAAAAAAAAAAATTTGTACTGAAAAAGTATTATAGAAAATAATAAAAAAATTATTCTAAAATGGAGCCTAAACCATGTTAAGTAATGCTTCTGGCTTATTACTTGTTCCGATTCAATTATGGGCCGACACAGCTTTTCCTGCCTTATGGCTCTTAAGCTAATAATTAGTTAAACTTAACTATGACTTATTAGTTTATAAGTTAACGTATTAAAATTTTTTAACATGTTATATTTGAGTAGTCTTGAGCTGCTTTCTATCTTTTTCTCGTTGCTTTATTACCTCTGCTCGTTCTTTGACTAAGCTAATAGTTCCCGATAATTAATTAGACATTTTAATATTTAATTTGAGCTTCGGTATTAAATTCACAGGACTAAAAGAGGAAGGTAATGAAAGATAAGGTATCCGAGTTTGGCATTTGTGGCTGGTTAAAACTTTGATAATGGAGGTGTAAGCGAGTCGAGCCGGCTAGAACTCGATTTATTAACTCACAAGTCAAGTTTATTGAGTCACGAGTTCGAGCTCAAGCTTAATCTGGTTCAACTCATAATCTCGTTGAGCCACTCGACACGTCACCAAAAAATTAGTTTGATTAGGCACTAATCTCGAAGCATATTTGAATTAGAAACTTTCAAAATTAAATTTTGGATCATCCAAACTCCGATCTCAACAACCTTACAATGAAACTGAACGTCTGGACAAGACAAACCCAATGACATTAAAATTAGTCCAATTCAAGTTCAAATGGGCTCAAATTAAGGACTTAAGGTATATTTGGAAGCTTCATAGTATTAGTTGGATGACTAAATGATCTCTAAATTAGTCATGCTTATAGTTGAATCGAGCAACTCAACACGATGAATCCAACGAGCCCAAGATCACTCAATTATGACATCATTTAGACACTTAAATACTTGACGAATGCTCTATGATCGAGGGAAGAAATATGGACCGTCTGATGGAGCACTCCAATTTTGCTATAGATCTTCCTCATATTTATGGAGCATACCACTGCCAAAAACTTATAAATAGACCATGTTTCTTCACATGAGGAGAGAGGAGGAATGATAGACAGAACTAGAAAGAACACTTGCATTTTCCAACCATCATCTCGAACAACCACCACCAATTATTGATGCCGACAACCACCGTTGGCATTGAAAATCTTTACTATCTCCAGAGTATTAACAAGAATTAACCTTATTGTTGGGCATAAAAGTCCGATCCATCTATGGACCTCTACTTTCTATAATTCCTATTGAAAAATCAAACTTTGTAGCTATGTATTAACTATCATACATGATTTTTGTACTCTCCCTCTTCTTCAACAATAAAAGAAGGATAATTTGTGTATCACTTACTATCTAGTGGATTTTACAACTAGATCAAGCCTCGTGGTTTTTTTAACTTTTTGGATTTTTCTCATAAAATTTTTTTGGTCATATTACTTTTATCTGTTCAAGTTGAATCTTTGTACAATGCTAAGACATGAAGCACACATTTTATTGACTCAAATTTTCTATCATGTAATAGTTTAGCACCATATGTGAGAAACAATTCTTGGTTGGGGATAATCTTTATTACAATCTCGAAAGATCATTCACATCAATGTCTTGGGCATTGTCGTAGTGTGGTAGTACATTTACCATGATCAATTATCATGTTCAAAAGAAGTATTTTAATATTGAGAGAAACCTCACTATAATAGCAAACAAATATTGTTATATCTCCTCTCAATCATAAGTCGTTGTTACATCATTTTATGAAAATAGATGTAGGCTAGGGGCAACTTTGGTTACAACCTCACAGAGATATTTATATTAAAATCTGAAATATGGTTTATAGTTGAGCAAGTCCCTTCAATATGTTATGCTTTCATGATAGTATTTTTTAGAACCACCATTCATAAAGCTTGCAATAAATACAAGAATTGTTCATGTGAATCTCAAATTTTTTAAAGTCCCTAGCTGGACTATTACACTTGGTACAAGGCCTTAGTCTCAATCTCGAATAGGCCGCAATGGTATACAAACATATTCATCTTCACCTTTAATTTGGAATACACGTAGCATTCGTCCCCTCCCAATCAAGGTATAATTGATCACATGGGATTCAATTCAACCTCTTCCACACAGGTTAATGTCATTGAGTAACAATTTGACAAATAAACATGGATGGGTCAAACATCATTGGTGGATTTCTTTCGACCTCTCCCAAACATATTAACATAATTGAACAATGTTATAAAAAATAACCTAAGATAGGTCAAACATCCTTGGTAGATTTCTTCCAACTTCTTTTGCACGTGTAAACTTTTTTGAGTAATTATCTAAGAAATAATCTCAGATTGGTCAAACATTTTTTGTGGACTCCCCCCAACCTCTTTTACATGAGTTAATGCAATCAATCAATGCTCTAAAGAACAATCCAAGGAAGGGATACACATAAGATAGCCTCAAAAGAAAGCAAGTAATTGACAAGGTCTTAACTAGAAAGACCCCATGAGGGCAAGTGGAAAACAAGGTCTCCACTCATAACCCTAGGAAGGCATGCCCATGAAGTTCCCTCGATGGGAAGCTAGTAATAAACAAGGTTTCCACTATAAAGACTCCATGAGAGTAAGTGATTAACATGGTCTACACACATTCAAAAATTTTAGAAGGTAAAAATCTCAAAAGGTTCAAGATTATCAAAAAAAAAAACTTTAAAGGCAAAGGTCTCAAAAAAAGTTTGTGTATACAAAACCTTAGAAGATAAAAGCCTCAAAAAGTATATGTAGACATAAACCTCACAAGGTTTATCATCATAAGATATAGGATTATCTAAAAATCTTAGAAGGTATACACCTCAAAAGGGTACACCTGCAACCATAGAAGGTAAAAGTTTCGAAAGATTCAGGATTATTAAAAAAATATTTAAAGGCAAAGGCCTCAAAAGGAATATTTACGCAAAACCTAGGAACGTAAAAAACTTAAAAGGCATACGTACACATAAAACATAAGAAGTCATAACCTCATAAGGTATAGGATTATCTAAAAATTTCAAAAGGTACTAATACACCAAAAAGCTTAGAAAGTTAAAATCCTCAAAAGGTATAGGATTATCCAAAAAACCAGTAAAGAAAAAATCCGAAGACGGAACATGTGTATGCAAAATTTTAAAAGCACTACAGGAAATTCGGGAATTACTGGCGGTTCCTGTTAGAATTTCGGTGGTTTCATAAAATATCGGTGGTTAGTAAACCGCCGGTATAAACAGCGTAGGAAATGAAATCGATTTCCAACAGTCTTTTTCCGGCGGTTAGTCTTGTCGGCGGCATGCATGCACGACCTGTAATTTTCGGAGGTCATAGCGCTGGTGACCGTCGGTTAATCACCAACGGCTTAACCTCAAAATGCATACGTACACATAAAATCTTAGAAGATATAGTCTCATAAGATATAGGATTATCTAAAAACTCATAAGACACATGTACACCAAAAATAAGGATAAAAGCCTTAAAAACTTATAAGACACATTTACACGTGTTTTTATATTAGTAGGCTCGCAGTAGGCAGTTGGCCATCTGGCCGGCCCAACCTAATTTGGGCTTAATTTCGAGCACAAAGACACTTATTCCATCATTTTAGGCCACCAAGATCGTTTTTCGGGGGTTCTACAATCAATTTCAACACTTTCAAAACCTAAGAAAGTCTCTACAACCCTTTTTGAATAATTTAAAATATTATAGAGTGAAATTCTTCAATACTTTTTATTCGATCACCACATCAACTTTATGGAAAACTTAAATTATACTTAAAGATATTTTTATTTGGTTCACGACCGCGAGGGTTGGGCAGGTCCATGTTGACATCCAATGAGCAATCGCGCATCTTATTCAAAAATTATAGCTTTATGTCACAACATTTTACAAAGAACATATATATATATATATATATATATAAGAACTAATTTGAGAGCTTCAACATCCGAAAATAGGGGGGCAAATGACATGTTAGTAAAAAACCAGCTTGATCAAACACTAATATCAAAGCATATTTGAATTGAAAACTTTCAAATTAAATTAAATTTTGGATCTTGGGCTCAAATCAACGGTGTAAAGAATATTTCAAATCTTTAATTATAACATTAATTAGATGATCAAATGATTTTTAAATTAGACATGCTTATAGTCAAATCAAGTAGCTCGATGAGACGAATCTAACGAGCCCAATATCTCTCAAATTTGATATCATTCAGACACTTAAATGCCTCACGAATGCTTCATGATTGAGGGAAGCAATATGGACTATCTAATGGAGCACTATGAATTTGCTCTAGATCTTCTTCATATTTATGGAGCATGTTACTATTAAAAATCTATAAATAGACTCTCATTCTTTAAATAAGGAAGGAGGAGAAATGATATATATAGAGAACTAGAAAAGAAAACTTGTAGGTATTTTTTAGCCATCATCGCTGACAATCACCATATCCATTAAAAATTTCTTCCATCTCCAAAGTATTGATAAGATTTAACCATGTTGTTGGTTATTAGCTGTCATACTTGATTAATTTCTGTATACTTTCTCTCCTTCAACAGTGAGGGAAGGATGATCTTTGTATCATCTACTATCTTGTAGATTTTACAATTAGGTCAAACCCCATGATTTTTTCCTTTCTTGAGTTTTACATGCAAAAAATTCTTTGGTCCTACTACTTTTATATATTCATGTTGAATCTTTATACACAGCTAAGACGTGAAACACAAGCATTACATACTAAAATGTTCTAACATGCAACAAATTTAAATTAGCATTATATATAATTTATTTTAATAATTTTAAATTAATTATATACATTAAAAATAAAATTTCTAAAAAAATGAAAATTTTTATTTAAATATCTGAAATCATGACAAATTCGAGCCTTCCATACAAGCTAGCTCAAGCAATCAAGCCGAGCTTCAGCCTATATATTTTTTTAACAAGTCGAGTTTGAGCTTAGTAAATGAGCTTAAGTAGAACTCAAGCCGAGTAAGAACAAATTAAGCTTAGTTTGATTAGGAATATATTAGACTCAACTTGACTCGTTTGCATCCCTAGTTGATAACGTACATGAAATGACATTTATTTCTAAATAATTTCTTACTCTCTCTCTCTCTCTCTCTCTCTCTCCCCATAAACTTTTATGTTCAAACAATTTCCCATTGAAATTGTTTTCTTGTGAGGTTTAATTAATCAAACCACAAGCTAATTCTCCACACCTTCATGGTACCTACATGCTTAAATAAATAATTAAATTTCACCCTTCGATTTGAATCCAGCAGCAATACAGCACGAGTGGGCCCACAGCCACCCAAATCTTGTAAAACTTACACAATTAAGAAAATTATTTCTTACCAAAAAAAGGTCCCACTCTCCCCTCTATTTATCACTCCCCACTCTTAGTTAAACGCCACCACCCTCCCCCTCTCCCTCTCTCTCGAAGCCGGCCCATTCAAACCAGACAGCGCCGCCAAAACAAACGGCAGAGATGCCTCTTCTGCCAGTAAATCTTCACGACGCACCGCCATCCACCACCGTCGACATCCCCGAGCATGAGGTCAGCCACAACGGTCACCTCCGTGCAGGAAGCCAAACCACAGAGCACAACCTTGCCGAGCTTCTCTGCCTAGCCGCTGATGCAGGCCGTGCCACGGAAATCCCTCTAGCGGAGCTTGAACGGCCTCTCCCTTTCATCCTCACCTTCCACAACCTCACCTATACCATCAAAACCCGAACTTCAAAGACATTCCCTTCCCTTCTCCGCCGCATCCATCTTGCATCAGATGGAAACTCTCACCCTCCCCGCCGCACCCTCCTCGACTCCATCTCCGGCGAGGCTCGCGAAGGGGAGATCCTCGCTGTAATGGGAGCCAGCGGTTCCGGAAAATCCACCCTCATCGACGCCCTTGCTGATCGCATCGCCAAACCAAGCCTTGGCAAAGGTGGCATCTTTCTCAACGGTGAGCCCTTAGAATCCAAGATTCAGAAAACAATTTCCGCCTACGTGATGCAGGATGACCTTCTCTTCCCGATGCTCACGGTCGAGGAGACCCTCAACTTCGCCGCCGAATTCCGACTCCCGCGTTGGCTCTCCGCCTCAAAGAAACGTGCTCGCGTCCAGGCTCTAATCGACCAACTGGGCCTCCGCGCTGCTGCATCCACTATAATCGGCGACGAAGGCCACCGCGGAGTCTCCGGCGGCGAGCGCCGTCGCGTATCCATCGGTACAGACATCATCCACGATCCCATACTCCTTTTTCTCGATGAGCCAACTTCAGGACTTGACTCCACCAGCGCATTCATGGTCATGAAAGTGCTGCAGAGGATTGCGAGCTCTGGAAGCGTTGTGGTGACTTCGATCCACCAGCCTAGCGCCAGGATTCTGAAGCTTCTTGATAGGCTATTAATACTATCGAAGGGGAGTACCGTATTCTTTGGGAGTCCGGACGGGTTATTGAACTTTTTCGCCGATTTCGGGAGGCCCATCATTCAAGGGGAGAACAGGGCGGAGTTCGCCCTCGATGTTGTTCGGGAACTGGAGGCTGAGCCCGGAGGCGCTGAAGGGCTCGTCCAGTTCTATCGTTCGCGGACTCAGGGCTCTGTTTCAGCTCTGCAAGACTCTCGTTTTATTCGTCCCCCTTCTTCGGCTTCCACACTGCAGGCGGCTATTACTGCCAGTATCTCCCGCGGGAAACTCTTCGCCGCCACCACCATCGGAGGTTTAGCTTTTCGGCTTCTTGTTTAATGCTTGGAGTTTGAGAGAAAGAAGGAAATAATCTAATGCAAATTAGATTATAATTAATTCAAAATTTATTAAAAATTTCTCTAAATCTTCTTCAAATTCAATGAAAATTTGAACATTATAATAATCTAAAATTTAGCCTTTTAACCACGCACATTTACCCCAACAGCTTCATCATCAGCAGCAGCAGGAGGAGGCAAGGTGCCGCAGTTCGCCAACCCCTTACACGTAGAATTCGCCGTCTTAACTCGACGCTCCTTTACCAACACCAGCCGCATGCCCGAGCTCTTCTTCATGCGCCTCGGCTCCGTCTTAGTCACCGGCGGCATCCTCGCCACCGTCTTCTACCGACTCGATTCATCCCCTCGCGGCATACAAGAGAGACTCGGCTTCTTCGCCTTTGCCATGTCCACTATGTACTACACTTGCTCCGACGCCCTCCCCGTCTTTCTTCAAGAGCGCTATATCTTCCTCCGCGAGACAGCCTACAACTCCTACCGCCGCTCCTCCTACGTCCTCTCCAACGCCCTCGTCGCCCTCCCCTCCCTTATCCTTCTCTCCCTCGCCTTCGCTTCCGCAACTTTTTCCGGTGTCGGACTGGCCGGCGGCCCATCCGGCTTCCTCTTCTACTTGCTTATCATCCTCGCCTCATTTTGGGCTGGAAGCGGCTTCGTCACCTTTCTCTCCGCCATCGTGTCTCAGGTATGCTAGCTTGAAACATAAATAAAAAAATATCTATGAAAATATTCAATCTGTTCTTATGTCCTCCGCTTATATTTTCTCTATCAAGGTAATGCTTGGCTACGTCGTCGTTGTCGCCGTGCTGGCTTACTTCCTCCTCTTCAGCGGCTTCTTCATCAACCGTGACAGAATACCAGACTACTGGATTTGGTTTCACTACCTGTCGCTGGTTAAGTATTCGTATGAGGGGGTTCTGCACAACGAGTTTGGGGAAGGTGGCAAGTGTTTTGTGAGAGGAGTGCAGATATTTGATACGACGCCGCTGGGGAAGATGCCGGAGGAGATGAAAGAGAAGGTGCTGGCGGCGATTGGGGGGGTGCTGGGTATCAGCATATCGCCGGAGACGTGCCTGACGAAGGGGATGGATATACTGAAGCAGAATGGGGTGACGCAGCTGGGCAAGTGGTGGTGCCTTGTTGTCACCGTGGCTTGGGGGTTTTTCTTTAGGGTTTTGTTCTACTTGGCGCTCTTGCTTGCGGGGAGGAACAAGAGGAGGTAAATTTAGCTGAAGTCGTATTTGAAAGGAAAAAAAAGAAGATTACCACAGGATAATTATTTGTGTTTTTTTTCTTTTAAGTTTAGATAATTAGATTATAATACAAATGTTCTTCTTTTATAACAAAAAAATGAGCTTAATTTTTATTTTATGGTACAAAAGAAATTGTACCATTATTATATAAATATATTGCGTTTTCTTTTGATCATTTGCTAAGCTATTCTTGTTAGTTTTATAACTAATTATATTTTAAATAAATTATACTACACTTTTAATTTTTTAATTTATCCTATTTTGAATAAGTTAAAAATATGATTTGACGGGTTAAAATTTATGAGTAACTATTTTTTTATAATTAAAATAATTTTTTAGTTGCTAAAACTAGCTACTAGATTATTTTTATCTTAAAATTTTCTTTGGTGAATAAAGGTTACATATTAATGTGAAGATAGATTTTGGGGGTCTTCAGTCTCAATCTTCAATCTCCTTTAAAAAATACACAGTCAACTTGAGATCTGAAAAGATTTAGATTTTGTTTGGGATTGCTTTATTACTACTTCTTAAAGCACCTTTTTAATATAAAAATTTTAATTTTTTGTATTAGAAAGCCACTTTAAAAAATAGTAACAAAGCCGGCCCAAGTAAAGCTTTAGAAAAGCTTGCTCAAAATCCATGATAATCGACTATTGATCATCTCCTATATGACATACATTACATATTTATATTAGAAGTGTTGGAGGCAAATTAAATGTGCATCGTAAGCTCAAGTTGAGAAGATATTTGATCATGATAACTTCCCAAAATTACTATGACTCTTATAAACCTCCAATTCTTGTGAAGTTTGAGGCATTGGATTTATAGAGCTAAATACATTTTAATATAAAGATTGTAGCGTATTAAAGCTATTTTTTCAACCTATAAATTCCCTTGTCTTCTTACAATGATTTCATCCAATCTATTGATCTAAATTTTAATCTTTCAACTATTTGGAGATTAGTGACATCAAGAGCTTTGAAATAACATTTTTCTCTTGATTTTCAAAAAACATAATTAATATTGGCCACCACCAGATCTTCCATTTATCACATTATCACCCAGCTCAAAACGACGTCCTAACCAGCCATAGCCTGGGCTATCCTCTAATATTGTGACAAGAATAATCATGAAAATAATGTCAATCGCTTCATTTTTCGTTTATTTTTGTTGAGTGTTTATCTAAGGTGTAAAACAATTCTTCACAAATCATTTTGAACAACTTTAACATATCAATTTTTTTTTTTTTGGTTAAAACCCATTGTGGGCCTACGCGTTAATATCCAAAATTCAGTTACAAAATCCTTAGAAGGATCCTCCAGCTCTCTAATGCTCAAAAGAGCTATACGAAAAATAGAAATAAAACCTAAGAGCCGGTGGTTCCTTTTTCTAAGATTACATAAAAGACATAAATAAAGTCTCGGGCAGTGAGTAGATAGACAGCACCCAAAAAAAGAAGAGCAGATAAATCCCGTTCAGCACATTCTTCCTGCAAAAATGTTGATGAAAATTGAAGTGGCAATGAAAAAACTAAAGCAAGAATACATTGCTATCATTGAAGCTCCATAACTGAAAAGATAAATTATCCCTGCAAGGAATTCTCCAAAAAGAAATGTTAGACATATAGTAAATAAAATAGTAAAAAGATCCACTATTATGCCGTTGGAACATCTGTCACTATTAACATTAATCAGGCCCAGCATACTCCAACCATCCACTGTGATCACCTGATAAATCTCCTCCCTCATATTCACCATATTAAGGAAACTATTCCTCATATAAATCCCATTCTTGCACAAACAAAAGTTAGAATTATTATCATTGATCCAGATAACTTCATAAAAATCAACCTGAGTAATATAAGGGATAAGCAAAAGCATAAAACTACCCAGAACCTACCGGTGATACCAAATCCACTCAATGACCTCCCACATCAACCAAAACAGATTCAAACCCCAAGTGAAAAGGCATCTGGAAGTAGTAAAACAGACCTTGTAGGAATTCATATCAGCAGCCAAAAACCACCTCATCAAATACAAAATAATAGGGACAACGTGTAAGGTCATTTTTAAGATCCATACCAGCATCACACAGCAAATAGTCGTAAGTAACCATAAAAGAGAAGGTAACTTAAGATCCATACCAGTGTTAAACTTCTGCCAAGAGGTCCAAGAAAAACTAAGCCAGCTGTAGCTATGAAACTTAACCCCAACATTCAAATATGAAATAATGATAGAAAATGAATAGCAATAATTATGGAAATAAAAAATAGCTAACCGAAAATTAGAACAAACCAACCACACCTGTCAACGCCCAGAGAAAATACTCCTCATAACAAAAACACCCCAGAGAACAAAGCTGACAACACAGCACTCAAATAAAACACAACAACCCACACCACCAGAAAAAGGATCAGCCAGATCTGATATAAGGCAACCCAATTTTGTCCAGTTTAACCAACCCTTTCAAAAGGTGAGGCAAATTATCAATACCAAATTTCATATCCTTCTTCAACCTACTACCAAGTTTGGCCAGGCAATCAGTACAGGCATTACCCTCCCTAAAAACATGCTTGATCATATAATTGAGAGTAGAGAGGGCCATATGAACTCACCTAATTATATAAAAGAACTGAGGATAAAAAACATCCTCATTTTTAATAATTTGAATTAAGAGTAATGCATCCACCTCAATCTCAATGTTAACAAAACCTCTATTGTTACAAATATAAAGCCCTTTAAGTAAGCCCATCATTTCAGCAAAAATGACCTTACACGGAGATAAAGGGCCCGCATAAGCCACAATAACTTGACCAAACCTGTCACGAATAATACCCCCAAAACCCACAAAAGAGATACCAACAGAACCATCAATATTAAGTTTCAAAGAAGGAGACAAAGGTTTAAGCCATCTGACAACCCTTTCACTTCTAACCAAATCCTCAGCATATATAGGAATACCCAATTTAATCTTCGTATACTAATATTATCAGCTCATTTGATAAGTGCATTTTTGCCCTTTGTTACATAACACTCAAATCAAATATCTTCATTACATTTTTGCCTCTTTTTTTTTATAAAACTCGAGAGTGGGCCTACATTTTAATTAATATTCAAAAATAAGTTACAAGTCCTTAACGGGATCGATCTCGCCAATGCTTAAAGAGCTACAATAAAAAAGATAAAAAAGAACCCAACAGTCAAAGATACATATCTAATTATAATCGAAGAAAAATGAAAAAAGAGAAAGATTAAAGATGGTAGATAAGAAGTAAAAACCAAAAATAAGAAGCCTAAAGCTAAGATATTCAATAAGAGCAAACAAAAAATCATGTCTAAATATATGAAGGAACGTGAAGAAATCAGCCATAAAATATGTAAGGTCAAGACAATGAAAAAATATCTAACGTCGATGCCCCAAGGAACCTAAAATGAAAGGTAGAAAAAAAGCAAAAACTAAAAACCAAGGCAACCAATCAGCAACAAAAAAAAGATAATATAGCAACATAAGAAATCAAAGCAAGCAAATAGAAAAGACACAATCAAAAGGAGCAGAAGAATAGAGTTAAACATAAGGGATAACCCTACTGATGAAAACAAAAAGTCAAACGATCAACCAGCAACCCAAGAAATAGACTAAACTACATATCAACAATTGTTAGGCATTATAGTCCCAGAAAACAGACAACCAAATAAGGAGAGTAGCAGAATAACAACAGCAAGAAGAATGAAAAATAGATGCAGAGAGACCACAAGATAAGATGAACAAGAGAACAAGTTATTAAAATCGGAAAAAAGGTGGAATCGGAAAAAAGGTAATCCCACCTTATCCATTCTCGTCAAACCTCTCAAAAAATAAAGCTCATTACAGTTTTGATACAATTCAATATTGGATATAGCAGGACCCTTTTTGGTTGGCCAGCCAGACAACATAACTATTCGATCTCTTCTCTCAATATATGAGTAAAAACATAATCAAACTGATTAAGATAAAATTTAATATTCCCGACTATATAATGACGAGAAGTATTGTTGTAATAGTTAGACAAAATTAAATTAACACAAAACCTAGAACCAGACTCTATCTAAATTTTATGCATATTTTGATCTAAGCAATATTTCAAACCCATCAACAAAGCTTTAACCTCAGCAACAATGAAACTACACTGGGCAATGGAAGCATAAAAGAAAAAATAAAGTCACCAGATTATCACGAGTGATTCCCCCACATCCAGTAGTGGACCGGTTAACAAAACCGTCAATATTAAGCCTAACCCGATCCATGGGAGGCATATCCTAGATGATGACTTTTCTTGGCAAATCAATATGAGAATTCTCAAAGAAAATTTGAAAAAAAGAAATTCATCTATTCTAGCTTGCCTTTAAAATGTTTTAGACAAAGTAAGTTGGCAGCAACTAGGTATGATTGCTTTAGATAAAATCGGTCTTCCCTATGTCAGACATGGTTGATTCCTTTTTCTCCTTTCTGGTGTGGTTGATGGAATATTTTGTTGTCTGGGTTATTCTGCTTGTGTTAGCTGTTAATTTCTATATGATGTTTTTAGTTTTTCTGGAGTTCCATAATCTGGGTGTGTTCATATGGCTAAAACAAAAAAAATTACAAATAAATTATTTAAAGATCAGAACTGCACATTGATCGAGCTTTTTCTTTTACATAAAACTATAATACGAGAGTATTATATGATAAATGTTAGGGATATATATACAAATAATATTGTATTCTTTTCATAATGGCTGGATTGTAATTTGCTTATAGGCGGACAGCCTATTCAGCTCTATATATAGGTCTGATACTGTACTCATTAAACACACAATAGAAAATACATTTCCATTCTTCCGTCTCTCTCTGCATTCTTTCCCTTTCCGTCAAGAAGCTCTCTGAAACCTCAAGAATCAGGTTTCCACATGGTATCAGAGCCAGCGTGAAGGAGAGGATCGGTGAAATGGAAAACTCGGCCGCTTCGCAAACCGAAGAAACGACAGAAGCCGATC